GACAGTTTCTTTACCTATTTGTATTCCTTTTATTCCTTCTTCTTGCCTAATTGTTCTGGGTAGGAATTCCAGTACTATGTTGAATAGGAGTGGAGATAGTGGGCATCCTTGTCTCATTCATGATTTTAGAAGGAATGGTTTCAGTTTTTCTCCATTAAGTATAATGCTGGCTGTAGGTTTGTCACATATAGCTTCTATAATGTTGAGGTACTTTCCTTCTATTCCTAGTTTTCTTAGAGCTTTTATCATGAAATGGTGTTGGATCTTAGCAAAGGCTTTTTCTGCATCTTTTGAGATGATCAGGTGGTTTTTGTCTTTGCTTCTGTTAATGTGGTTTATTATGTTTATTGATTTTTGTATGTCTAACCACCTCTGCATTCCTGGGATGAAGCCTACTTGGTTGAGGTGGTGATCTTTTTGATGTGTTGCTGAATTCGGTTTGCCATTATTTTATTAAGTATTTTTGCATCAGTGTTCATTAAGGAGATTGGCCTATAGTTCTTCTTTTTGGAGTTGTCTTTGCCTGGTTTTGGGATACGTGTAATACTGGCTTCATAAAATGTGTTAGGCAGTTTTCCTTCCCTTTCTATTTTGTGGAACAGTTTAAGGAAGGTTGGTATCAGTTCTTCTTCAAAGGTCTGATAGAATTCAGCAGAGAATGCATCAGGTCCTGGACTTTTCTTTTGGGGAGACTTTTGATTGCTGCTTCAATTTCATTTTGTGTTATAGATCTATTCAGGTGATTAATATCCTCTTGGTTCAGTTTTGGATGATCATAAGTATCTAGAAATCTGCACATTTCTTTAAGAATTTCGAATTTATTTGAATATAGGTTCTCAAAGTTGTCTCTGATGATTTCCTGGACTTCCATGGTGTTTGTTGTTATCTCCCCTTTTGCATTCTTGATTCTACTAATTTGGGTTTTTTCTCTCCTCATTTTAGTCAGGTTTGCCAGGGGTCTGTTGATCTTGTTTATTTTTTCAAAGAACCAGCTTTTTGTTTCATTAATTCTTTGTATGTTTTTTTTTTTGGTTTCTATATCATTGATTTCGTTTCTTACTTTTATTATTTCTCTCCTTCTATTTGTTTTGAGATTTGCTTGTTCTTTTTTTTCTAGAAGTTTGAGATGTATCATTAGGTCATTGATTTGGGATCTTTCAGTCTTTTTAATATATGCACTCATGACTATAAACTTTCCTCTCAGGACTGCCTTTGCTGTGTCCTGTGGTTCTGGTGGGTTGTGTTTTCATTTTCATTGACTTCCAGGAACTTTTTAATTTCTTCTTTTATTTCATCCATGACCCATTGTTCATTAAGTAATAAGTTATTCAGTTTCCAGCTGTTTGCATGTTTTTTTGTCTTTACTTTTATTGTTGAGTTCTAGTTTTATAGCATTGTGATCAGATAGAATGCATGGTATAATTTCTATTTTCTTATGTTTGCTGAGGCTTGCTTTGTGCCCTAGGATATGATTTATTTTGGAGAAGGTTCCATGTATATTGTGTAGAAGTTGATGAAATGTTTTGTAGACATCAAGTAGGTGCATTTGATCTATGGTATATTTTAGATCTAGGATTTCTTTATTGATTTTTTGTTTGGATGACCTATCTATTGATTATAATGGGGTATTAAAGTCTCCCACAACCACTGCATTGGAGTTAATGTATGCTTTTTGGTCCTTCAGGGTATGTTTGATGATATTGGTTACATTGACATTGGTTGCATATAGGTTGATAATTGTTATTTCCTTTTGGTCTATTTCCCCTTTTGTTAGTATGGAATGTCCTTCTTTATCTTGTTTGATCAATGTAGGTTTGAAGTCTACTTTGTCAGAGATAAGTATTGCTACTCCTGCCTGTTTTCAGGGGTGATTGACTTGGTAAATCTTCTTCCAGCCTTTCATCCTAAGCCTATGCTTATTTATGTCAGTGAGATGGGTTTCCTGTAAACAACAAATTGTTGGATCTTCCTTTTTAATCCATTTTGTCAAGTGGCGCCTTTTGATGGGTGAATTAAGTCCGTTAACATTAAGTGTTAGTGTTGATAGGTATGTGGTGATTCCTGTCATTTAGTTGTCTTAGTTTTTTGAAGGTTTGATTGTGTGTACCTAAGTTGAGGTTACCCTCTACTTCTTGCTTTTCCTTTTCCTGTAGTTTGGTGCTGCCTGCCCTTTCCTGGTTATGTTGGGTTTCACTTTCTTTGTGCAGAATCCCTTGAAGAATCTTTTGTTGTGGTGGCTTTGTGGTCACATATTGTTTTAGTTTCTGCTTATCATGGAAGATTTTTATTGCTCCATCTATTTTGAATGATAGTTTTGCTGGGTAGAGTATCCTGGGGTTCAAGTTATTTTCATTCAGTGCCTGGAAGATCTCTCCCCAAGCTCTTCTTGGTTTTCATGTTTCTGTTAGGAAGTCTGCTGTAAATTTTATGGGTTTAACTTTGTATGTTATTTGTTTTTTCTCTCTTACAGCCTTCAATATTCTTTCTCTTGTTTCTTTACTTGTTGTTTTAATGATGATGTGCTGTGGAGTAGTTTTATTTTGATCTGGTCTATTTGGTGTTCTGGAGGTCTCTTGCATCTGTATGGGAATAGATTTCTCCAGATTTGGGAAATTTTCTGTTATTATTTTTTTGAATATATTGCACATTCCCTTTGCTTGCACCTCTTCTCCTTCTTCAATGCTCATGATTCTCTGGTTTGGTCTTTTGGTGGAATTGGTGAGTTCTTGCATCTTCTTTTCACAGGTCTTGAGTTGTTTAACTAATAGTCCTTTCATTTTTTCTTTAATTACCATTTCATTTTTGAGTTCTGAGATTCTGTCTTCTGTTTGTTCTATTCTGCTGAATTGGCCTTCCATTTTGTTTTGCAATTCTGTTTCATTCTTTTTTCTGAGGTTTTCCATATCCTGAGTCATTTCCTCTTTAATGTTGTCTATTTTTGTCCTGAGTTCATTTATCTCTTTATTAATCATGATCTTTGTTTTACTTTGGCGTTTATACAGTGCTTCTATGGTTTCTTTTATTTCTTCTTGTGCTTTTCCAAATTCTCCATTTTTGTTGTGTTAGAATTTCTTGAGTGTCTCCTGTACATTTTGTTTGACCATATCCAGTATCATCTCTATAAAATTCTAATTGATTTCCTGTAGTATTTCTTCTTTTAGATTGTTCTTGTGAGCTTCATTGTGTTCTTTGGTATAGTTTATCTTCATTTTGTTGGAGTCTGGATCTGAGTATCTGTTTTCTTCATTTCCCTCTAGTTCTTGTACTAATTTTTTGCTGTGGGGAAACTGGTTTCCCTGTTTTTTCTGCCTTCCTGTTATTGCCCTTGGTGTTGTTATTGTCCCTGTACTGTGTGCAATTAACATATTTTCTAGCTTGTAATAATAACAATGGCGATATTCAGAATGGAAGAGTGAGAGGAGATGGAAAGCAAAGAAGTTAAAGAAAAAAGGGAAAAACAAGTAGAAAAAAACAAAACAAACATCAAGAAAGTTTCAAAGATATAAAGAGAGAGAGCTAGTGTACTAATCGACAGTAAGCTGAACAGGCATTAGAGAGACAGAGAGAGGATTGAAAATAAAAAATAAAAATAAATAAATAAATTGAAAAGAAAATAAATAAAATAAAAAAATTAAAAATCTCCAAGTTCAAATGCAATAAAGTTTCAGTCTTAATAATTTTGTTGTTCATCCCTCAGCTTCCAATCCTGGAGATGGTGTCTCAGAAGTAGTTCTGTTGTTGTCTCATCAAAGGGCAAAAATACTAAAAATACAAAACAAAACAAAACAACACAAAACAAAACAAAAACCCCACAGTGTCTCAAGTTCAAATGCAATACAGTTTCAGTAAATTTTTCAGCATGCAGGTGTAGTTCGGTTTTTGTCTCATCAAAAGTAAGGAGAAAAAAAAGAGTCTGCAGACAGTTCTGTGAATGGCTACCTGGGGCTGTGGCTTGCTTGCCCTCTGCTGTCAGCCTGCTGTTGCTGGAGGCTTTATTTATGCAGATCTCAGGAGTGAGCTTAGCACTCACCTGGCCCTGCAGGCTTTGTTTACTTAGAGTTCTCCTGGGCATGACCACCACTGCTGCAAGCTTTCCCCTTTCCAAGCACACTGGGGGTGGTGAAACTGCACCCACTTTCTCAGGCCAGTGTGTTTATATGCTGTTTATGGGGGAAGTGGGTCTTCCCCCCTCTCCTGTGGAGTTTTCCTCCCACCACCACTTTTACAAGGTTTCTTGCTACTCTTTGCTGGGCAGGTGCCACCACTCCTGCCTTTGCCAGCCAGCTTGTTTATTTACAGTTCTGGAAGGGATTTCCCTTTCCCCCTCTTTGACACTTAGGGCAACCCACCCTCTTTGCTATGTGTCTTTTTTTGTTGTTATTGCTTATTAATCAGTTTTTTTCCTCTTTTTTCCCGGGATGGGGGTCGGTCTGTCCAGGGGGCTATGCTGATCTGGCCCAGGGTTGTCTGTGGGAGTAACACATCCCGCTTAGCTCACCTTGTGGTCTGAGTCTTCCCAAGCTATCTGGGTGCTGGTGTCTAGCAGTGGCACAGGAGACTTCCTGGTTTCTCCATTAAATGTGAAGTGGAGATGCTATGTGCAGGCTGGAGGTGTGGAGGAGTCAAAGTTTTGCCTCTTCTCAGTGGTTTTTCCTGTAAGGTGTATCTCCAGCGTCTCTCCAAGATTTTACTTTAGGAGGCACACTTTTTGCTTCCTCCCTCTAGCTGCCATCTTGGAATCCTGGTGTACACTTTCTAAGTTGACCTGAAAGCTTCCAAGCTGACTTCTATGTTATTTTTATTGGCACAACACAATCACCCTTTCTGTGATAATATTTTTGGCTCTTGATTTACATCAGGTATTTTCACAACCCACTACTTAGGCAAATTGCTTCCTAATTTTCTGATTGCTTTGCATAGCCCCTTAGGCCCAGTTTAACTAGTCAGAATAATAAATTGTAGTGAGAACTGAGCTGAATCAGGCAGGCAAGGGCAGCAAGATGGTGTCACAGACCCAGGTCCTCATGTCCTTGTTGCTCTACATCTCTGGTGAGAAATTAAAAAATGGCACAATCTCTTTAGAATAATATTTTTGTAGAGATAAAAATTGTAACATATACTTGGATATAATTTCTATTTCTCATATAACTCCAATAATCTAATGACATAAACCATAAAATAACATTTTAAATGGCATGTATTACATAGTCAGTGTGTGTATGTACATGTGATCACTGTCCATTCCTGATTGTAGGTGCCTGTGGAGACATCCTGATGACTCAGTCCCCAGGCTTCCTGGCTGCATCAGTTGGAGAGAGTGTCACCATCAACAGAGTCTTTTATTGAACTACAACCCGAAGAACTACTTGGCCTGGTTCCAGCACAAACCAGGACAGCTTCCTAAACTTCTCATCTACTGGGCATCCACCTGGGAATCTGGAGTTCCTGACTATGTCAGTGGCAGTGGGTCTGGGACAGATTTCACTTTCAATATCAGCAGCCTCCAGGCTGAAGATGTGGCACATTATTACTGTCATCAGTGTTATGAGGATCCTCCCACAGTGCTTCAGCTTCAAACACAATCCTCTTCTAGAGATTCACAGCTATTTGCACATCACCCAACAAGCTGTGTGCTTGTACACTTCCTCCATCTGCCTGAAAGCTTGTATTGCCTGACTTGGTGATGAGAAAGATTTTAGTGCTCAAAATAAAATGAAGGGTCTCATTGTCTCTTAAATTCTTTTGAACAGAGGCATCAACAGTTAAATGCAGTGGGGGAAACTCTGTATTGGTTTTCTATTTCATCTGCACCAATTTAGCACAAACTCTGTGGCTTGAAGATGAAAAATCACTCATTTTACAGTTATGGAGGTCAGAAGTTCACCATAGGACTCAGGGGGCTAAGATTAAGATGTTGGAAGGCTGCATTCCCATTTGGAGGGTATAGAAGAGACTATGTCTCTTGACTTTTCAGGTCCTAGAGTTCAACTGCATTCCTTTGTAGGTGGACCTTTTCTCCCATCTTCAGAATAAGTGAAGTATCAGCTTTCACCCTTCTTCTGGATGTACATTCCCTCTGAAGTCTCTTTATTTGCTTTCCAATGTGGACATCAAAAAACATCATTCTGCACTAATGTGTAATGTGAATGGATGTGATTTTGTGTTCAACAGACTATCTTCCAGTGTCTATATCTCATATTAATTTAAAGAATTCAATATTTGGGGAATGCTTTGTATCCCATGAAACAATGTGCTAACATTTCATTCATGGATTCATTTACAATAGTTGATTTATCACCGACTTTAGGGCACAGAGATACAATAAGAAGAAGTGTCTAATAGACCACATACAATTATTTAAGAACTCTGTAGCACTCATGCTATCTGCATATGAATTGAACCTTTGTGACTTACTTGATGGTTGGTACTTACCGATGTGCAGAAGTGCCCGTATGCATATATGTGTCAGGCATTTCCCAGAGTAAAACTTGTGGTGGTTGAGCTGTGCCAACTGTGTTTGTCAGGGTTTTCTTTATTAGCCACAGGGCAAGCACCTGAGGCTAATAACTTAAAGGAGGAAAGATTTGTTTGGCTCACAGTTTCAGAGGTTTCACTCCGTGGTTATCTTGTTCCATTGCTTTTAGGTCTGTGGCAAGACAGAAGCATCATGGTGGAAGAGTGTGGCAGAAGAAAGCAGCTCAGCTCATGGCTGCTGGAAAGCAGAGAGAGAAAGACAGGAAGTGCCAGAGATGGCTCAACCCTTCAAAGATCCCCTTGTAGGAATGCACCTCCCCCAACCAATATCCCCCTGACTTGTACAACCGTCTCAAAATTCGATCAAATTATGAATCCATCAGTGGATTAATGTGGTGACTCAGTTAGAGCTCTCTTAGTCCAATCAGGTCTCAGTGATTGGATTTACCCACTGTGGACCAAAACTTCAACACATACATCCTTTGTAAAATTCCGTATTCATACTATAACATCAAGTAAATGTCTAGTGGGATGACACCCACAAATTTATATATATTTAGAATACATGTAGCATTTCAATAATAAAGAGTCCATATTTAATTTAAACATGTGACCTTCCCCTGCACTATTCCTTAGAATACAATATGAATTTGAAATGTTTAATAAAGCTGCATATTAAAGGGAATTTGCATTGGGCATCTGGAACATGTGGGACCAGGTTAGTTTCAGGTCTGTTAGGGGCATTGTCAGCTCTCTCCTGTCCCTTACAGAGCACCTTGCCTTCAGTCCTTTCAGTGTCATGGAACCATGAAGACAGAAAGGAAAGACTTCAAAGTCAATCTTTTGGGGCCAGTCTGGGTGGCACATACCTGACATCCCAGCTATGTAGGAGAGTAAACAGGTAGATTCTGTTCCAGGGAAGCCTCTGACCTCTTGGAGAGCTCATGCTACATACATAAGACAGATTTCCCACTAGGTCTTTGAGATAGGGGGTCACTTTTTCCCAGTCTGATCTCGAACCATGATGCAATCTCTGCTCTAAAGTAGCTGGTATTAGAGACATTGGCCACCACACCTGTATATATGTGAGTGTGTATGTGTGTGTGTGTGTGTGTGTGTGTAGAACAAAATTCAGTGTTGATTTTGTGGGTATGTACACAAGTGAGGAAAATATATCTGGTTGAAAAAGGACAGTGCTTCACCACATTGCAGCTCAAGCCAAAGATTTCAGCATCAATTTGGCCATGAGCTAAGTGGGAGATGACTTCTTATTTTTAAAAATTTAACCTTTTTGCTTTATTTTAACAGGTACCACTTTTCCATTTACATACATGGTGTATACATTATTTGCACTGTATTCATCCTTCTACCCCTTTCCGCACCACCTCCCCAGACCTACCAGTGCCAACGCCCCCCTGCACCTGGAAAGAAACTGTTTTTCCCTCTTGTTCCCATGTTTTGCAGAAGAAAAAACATAAAAGATAATAAGGGAAACATGGCTTTTTTGCTAGTTTGAGATAAAGATAGCTATACAGGGGGATTCTTGTGTTGTTTCCAAAGGGGACTAGAGAGGTAACTTCTATTTAGAGTTCAGTTTCTCTCATTAACATGTGTCACAGTGATATCTCTGCTAGTTTTTTATTGCTGAGGAACAAATGTCCATCAGAGGGACATATTTCAGAAATCTAGGAATTTGGATGGATGGTTTCCTTTTGACTCTCAAAGTTAAAATTGAAGAGTAGGATGGTAGAACTTAATGTGAAGCTCAGGGTCTTCTTCCATCTCAAGTTCTGTGACAGAATTTGTTTCTTGAAGTTGTAGGCTGAGGACCCATTTCTTTTCTGGTTTCAACTCACAGGTCCTGGAAGCTGCCCTCAATCCCTCAAACAGGCCTCCCTTTGTCTCCAACACCAACATTAGAGAATCTCCCCTCACCTAATCCTTTTCATGTCTGGAATCTTTCCAAATTTCCTTTCTTTTACTATAGATCCAGATTTTAAAGGGTTCTGTAACTTGATTGGTTTTTACTCAGGAAATTTCCCCTCCTTAAAGTCACTGTATTTCATTACAGCTGAAAAGTCACTACTAAAAAACTGAAATTTTGTTTGACTGAATACCTGGGAGAAGGTATATTGATTCCAGGAAAGCACTGATGCCTAGCAAAATTATAATTCTGTGTATATAATATCATTATTTTTAGTTTACCAAGTAATGATTTGGTCCTGTATGGTTGTTTTGAACTGCTATTGTTCAGAGGTTTTAATTTTGGCTATCATTAAGTGATTTCAGAGGATGAAAGCCTACAGTTCAGCTGGCCCAGGAATTATGATGGCTTCCACACTTTTTCCTTCCATGCATATCAGGCGAAACATGCACTAAAATGGTCTCAGTAAAAACATGAGCTAATTCTCACTAATTCACCACATGCTCTTATTGCCTGTACTTAGAAGAAAGATCAAGTGTGCTAGCAGATCTCCCAGGTCTCCTAGCATCAGGCTTATGCCTGTCTCCAATATGGCTTCCTTCACTGACTTCAACAGAGATTGTGCATTTTTACAGGGCTCTCCCTTGACCTTTACACATCCAATATCTCCTTTCAGACACGAACTCCACTGGCTGCATTTGAGCCAGAGAGTGATGAATGTCAGGTAATAGAAAGTTAAACTGTGAAGTCAGCACAGATGAGAATGTACACACATAGGAACAGAACTCTGTGCTTCAGCAGAAAACTTCTAACAACGTGATTGAGCACCCTTGGAGACATGTAAGAGTGAGAGGACCAAAGAGCAGATGATATCCTGGAGAGTTACTGTGCCTGTGAGGATTCATCTAAAATGTAGGACAGGGATGTCCTGTTGAGGAACAGACAATTGAGTTAGTGTACCAATTGTGTATAGAGTTGCTATAACATGCAGAACGGGTTGTGTGTTGCACTTGCCTATAGATGGGAGTTGTTGGGTGGGAAGGTGGAGTCAAATGATGGGAAGAGCAGTAGAAATAAATTTGATGAACTAAGCGAATGAGCTTGCATACAAATTTTCTGTGACCTTGTAACCTATGTGTAGAATAAAAATAATGTGACAGATGAAGCATGAGCTTCGTCATTGCTTTCATACTGAGATACTGAAATAAGTCTGCGCCAGTTATTGCACTAGAGCACTGGCTAGTAGGCAAAACATTAAAGATGCTTTGCAAGAGGAAAGGTGATGAACCATCCTCCCTGGAGTGTTTAGTGCATGCCAGTGGCCAGCAGAGGACAGCAAGTGCCCAACTGTTTTTCAAAGTAAGCTTCCAATTTTTCCACTTGTCAAGAGACTTGTGATCCTACAAATGAAAGTGTCTGGACCATTTAACTAACTAGCCAAAAATGAAAAATTTGTCTTCATTTAGCTTTTTAAATTTTATATTTTAGTGGTTGGAGGAAGGGCTCAAGTGGTAGAGCACTTTCCTAGCAAACCTAAATCCTTAATTTCAAACCCCAGTGCCAGAAAAGAAAAAAAAGAAAAGAAAATTAATTTTATATTTTTAAACTGAAAAGTTATTTTGAGTACACTGCCTTCGTTCTGAGATATCACTGTTAGATCATTTCTTACCTCGGTAGCTACTGCTACTAGGAGTCCATTGTTATTTCTCTTCATCAGTTTGACTTCTGCTTATTGGGCTATCTACCAGTTATCAGTTTGCTTTCATCTGCTTATACTCATTGCCTCATGATCTTACCTCTTGTCCCAGATTTGTTTTTCCAGTTCAGACTGCTTCTCTGAACTTCAGAATCTCACATAAACATCCACCTTAGCAGCATTGCCAGGTGGAGGTTTACAGCATCTCACAATTCTAGTGTTTCTCCTGAAGTCCTAATTCCCACCTGCCTTCCAAGTTTGCTTTTCCTGGGCATTTCCCTTGTCTCAAGACATTGTTTCAGATTCTCTGGTTTCTCAGTCCTAAGGACATTTAGCAGTCGTTCTCTAATATTCTATTTCACTCACACTCTGCATTCAATATGTCTGCAATGCTTACTTGATATTCTTTTAAAATATAATGATAATCTGACTGTCTTTTAGCACAGCCATCAGTATGTTAAGATCCCAGAACTGGGAGACACAGCACACCTGGATATGACTATAGAAGAAAGTTAAAATACAACTTTTATTTTGTTTTTATTTGGTAAGCTGTCTCAAAACTCCCAAATAATACAATAGGTACAAAGTGTCCCTATAATGAAACTCTTCACTTTCTCTCTTCCTACCCTACATTTTGGGATGGTGATAATCCTGGAGGATTTTCAGAATAAGCACAGCCTTTCTTCTTCATCTTTTTTTTGGTGGTACTGTGTTTTGAACTCAGGGTCTTTTGCCATGAGTTCTTTTTTAAAGGCCAGGTCTCAATATTCAGCCTATCCATTTCCAAGTATTTTTTGTTTAAAATAGGAGCTCTTCATTAATTCACTAACAGTTTGAGGTTTTAGAGAGTCTAAGTTAATCTTAGAATTCTAAATTAACACCTGTGTCTTTTCTGGTCACACAATTATGCTTTCTGTGTTGATATTTTTGGTATCTTACATCAGATACTTTTATACTCCACTGCCCGCACAATTTGATTTTGTATATTCTGATTGCTTTGCATAACCCCTCCAGCCCAGTCCAACTGCTCCAATTTTATGAATGACACCTTTGCAATAAGAACAGAGCTGCATTAGGCAGGCAGGGACAACAAGATGGTGTTGCAAACCCGAGTCCTCATCACCTTGTTGCTATGGGTCTCTGGTGAGAAACTTAAATGCTGCAGTTCCTTCAGAGTAATCTGTTGTTGAGCTAACAAAATGGTTTTTAAGATGTACTAAGAAGTAATGACTATTTCCAATATGAACCCATTAGAATGTGCATTTTAAATGACTTATTCAATGTTTGTATTATAAAGTCTGTGTGTGTGTGTATGTATGTTTATTGTCTTCTCCTGATTGCAGGTGTCTGTGCGGACATCACGATGACTCAGTCTCCAGCCTACCTGGCTGCATCTGTAGGGGAAAGAATCACCATCAATTGTAAGTCCAGCCAGAGTCTTTTATACAGTTCAAACCAGAAGAACTACTTGGCCTGGTACCAGCAGAAACCAGGACAGCCTCCTAAACTTCTCATCTTCTGGGCATCCACTCGGGCATCTGGGGTCCCTGACCGCTTCAGTGGCAGTGGGTCTGGGACAGATTTCACTCTCACCATCAGCAGTCTCCAGGCTGAAGATATGGCAGATTACTACTGTCAGCAGCATTATAACTATCCACCCACAGTGCTTTAGCCTTAATCAAAAACCTCCTTCCTATGCTGTGGGTCAGTGATCCTTTTCAGCACCAGCTGCTTCCTCCTCACATAACGCTGATCTCACATCTGTCCTGTCTGTCTGGGAAGTTGCATTTATTGATGTAGTTCTTGGAGGGTTTACAGGATTTAGGAGAAAATTCCAGAACTGGACTTTATCTGGATCCCTTTTCATAGGAGGTTATTGAAGATAAATGTAAGGCTATCCAACAGATTGTTAAGAGATTTTGAGTTACTGGAATTTGAATATTTCTTGTGGGTATTTTTTATGACTGAGCCAAGAAAATTAATCCTTACCCTTTATAGAAAGATCTTTTGCTTGTCACATGTTGACAGAACAATTCATCTTTACTAGACCTACTTGAATCAAGAACAGTTCCATTTTGACTCCTTATATCCCTTCTTTCCTTGTTTTTATAACCTTTAATCACCTCCCAACTCTATCATCTCCATTATTTAACCTTTGTCCCCAATTCCAATCCTTGGATACAGAAGTTCTTATTTCTATCTTGGTTCTTCTTTCCACACTGGCTGTTTTCCAGGTAGCCTTTCTAGTCAGTTTCACACAAAATGCTTTCCTACTCTTTCTTCCCTCCTAATCTGCTGTTTTCCCTTCATTTCTATCTGTCATACTCTTTCTTTCAAAGGCAATCCTTGAATCCTTTAACTAAATCACTGTAGAAATATGGGACAGAATTCCCCATTAGATTTACCCATAAGTTGTCAATTTTCTCTGGTTTGATTCTAATTTGTGATGGATATTGCTGGTCATATGTCTGCAATCACTTGAGTTCTTTAGGTAACTTGCAGTTTACATGGCCATGTCAGCATAATGGGATAAAGTCCAGTCATCTAGTATTATTTCTTCCTCCCCATCAAAAATGCTTGGGAGAATGATATTTACTTTCAGAAAATATCTCAGCAAAGCTGAGTATTGCACTCTTTCTTATACAGCAGTTTCTTATAACAGGGAGAAATATTTTAAGATATTGACATTAATTATATATATACACAGTGGAGTTATCCTCAGCCATAAGGAATAATGACATGTGGTTTCAAGGTAAATGGATGCAACTGGAGGACACATGTTAAATGAAGTAATCCAAAAGGTTGCATGTTTTCTTTCATATGTGGAATATAGATCCAAAAGATATAAATACATACAAAACAAGCATATAAACTGATATGTAGAACATGTTAGTAATTGTGTTATTACTCTGTGGAAGTTGGGCAAAGAGGGAAAGGAAAAGAATGATAGAGTATCAGTCATGTCATGAAACATAACGTCTGTGAAGGTAGAGGATATAAGGATGTGTGTTGAAAGCTATTGAAAACTGGGATGGCGGATGGGAAGTAAAGTTGTCAGGGAAAATAATGGAACGGGTTGTTCTGATCAAAATAAAGTATACTCACAGTGGGGATATATAGAGAAACCCCTTTGAACATCAACTTAAATGTTAATAATGAAAGATAGGTCTATAAAATGGGTACAGTTTGTGTGTGTGTGTGTGTGTGTGTGGTACTAGTGAGAGGGCAAGGGCGAATGAAGGTGATTAGGATGAGGGTATATGGTTGATGTATTTCATATATAATATGAAATGGAACAAAGAAACTTCTTGCAATTACTTTAAGTGGGGTGGGGAAGGGGTTGAGGGGAAGAGTGGATGCGGAGTGATTTTAAAAATGTCCCCCCCTGTGTAACGAGTATATCCTAATAAAAATTTTACAAAAAATTGATGTTAAGAAGTCTACATAATTTGTTTATTCAGAATGCTTACTGCATTCTTACTACATATCAAGTTAAAAATATCAAATTTCATTCTATTTCAGGAAAATAAGTAGTAAATGCTATTGTACTAATAAATGAATTATTAGTATGTAGTATAAAGGCTATACAAAATTGGTCACATTTCTTTTCAGAAATAACAACTTATATGAAAAGTAAATGAAGAAATTATTTTACTTACAATATTATCAAAAAATAAAATAATGCCGGGAGCAGTGGCTCATGAATTGTATAATAGCTATTTGAAAGGAGGAAGCATGGAGCAAATTTCAAGGACAGCCTGAGCAAACAGTGAGACCACATCTCAACAAATAAGCCAGGCAGTGGTGACACACAACTAATCTCAACTATTTATGAGGCACAGGTAGGAGCATTGTGGTCAAAGATAGGTGTTCATAAATACAGTAGACATTATATGAAAATAACCTAAAACCAAAAATGTGGTGAACTGCTTGCCTAGCAAGTACGAGGCCTATAGTTCAATCCCCAGTACTGCCAAATAAAACAAATAAAATAAAAATACTTAGGAATCAATTTAAGTGAAGAGATGAAAAATTGATATACTGACACCCACAAAATTCTACTGAAAGAAATTGAAGAAGACATAAATAAATGAAAAGATATACTGTGGTTTCGGATTGGAAGAATTAACATTGCTAAATGTTTATGCTACCCAGAACAACATACATATTCAATACAATTTCTCTCAAAATGTCAAAGACATTTCCACAGGAATAGAGGAAATAATTCTTTTGAAAGTATTTTTAAAGCATATGTTAGTTGTACAGGGGTTTTCACTGTGACATTTCCATATATGCTTACAATGTACCTTGGTTAGGTTCATCTAATATTATCTTCCCTCCTCCCACAACTTAAAATGATTTTGAGAGGTTTCAATGTTCTGTCTTCATACAGTGATAAAAGGTGCATCGACCATATTCACCCTCCTTCACCCTCCATTAGCCCCTCAATTCCTGCTAGTACCCACTCTGTAGTAAGATCTGTCTTACTTTCTGTCCATCATTGTTTAAGTGTATATTCATTGTTCAAAGGGGTTTTGTGATGGTATTTCATCTGTGAATATATTGTACATTAATTAATCTAGTACCCTCCCTTATTTTTCCTTACCCTTTCTCTCCTTCCTCTTATTATTCAACAGCTAGAAAAGGCAACTTTAAAATTCACCTGGAACTACAAAAGACTTTGAAGAGTCAAAGCAATATTGAAAAATGGAATCAAAACTGTAGCATCACACTACCTGATTCTAAATTACATTACAAAGGTGTAGTAATCAAAACAGCATGACACTGACATACAAATAGTGCATAGACAAATGGAATAGAACAGAGAATCTAGAAATAAACTCTCACATTCACAGTCTACTAATTTTGAAAAGGGCACTAGGAAAATGTAATGGAGAAGGGTTAATGTCTTCAATAAATCGTGCTCTGAACTTCCACAACAAAAACTGATATTGGATCTTGTGTTATACTATACAGAATAAGGAGAAAATTCTTAAGTGTGAGATCAGGAAACATAAATTCTAGAAGAAAACATAGGGAGAATTCCCTTGACATTAATCTTGTCAACAATGTTTTGAATATCACACTAAAAGCAAAAATAAATAAATGTGATTCCAGCAAATAAAAATATTATGCACATAAGTGGCAATAATCAACACAATTAAGAAACAACTTAAAGTTTGGGAGAAAATAATTGCAAGCCATATATCTCATAAATGATTAATATCCAAAAATGGAGGAACTCACATAACTTAAGAGCAGAAAAGTGAATAATCTGAGTAAGAATAAATGGACAAATGACCTGAATAAATATGTCTCCAGAGAAGGCATATGAATGACCCTCATGTATGTGAAAAAGTGGCCAACACCATTAATCAGCAGAGAAACTAAAATCAAAACCACGATGAGATACCACCTGACCTTTTTCATGGCAGATTCCATAAAAAAGGTAATAGGTAACAAGCGTTGGTGAGGCAGTGGAGAAAAAAGGAGGTTTTAAACACTTTTGTTGGGAG